CAACACCTGGAGCATCCACACATCAGAGGTAATAGAAGGATAGGATACGTACAAAGACAGTAATGAGAAGTGAACGATCTAGAACCTTATGAAGAACATGACTTCTGATATTTACAAGTAGCTTGTCCACCTCTTCTTACCCACCCATAATTCAAATTATTTGTTCTATGGTGGTGAAGCTCATTTAAAAAAGAAAAGGCTTCTTTTTTTCCGTGCATTGACTGAAAAGAAGATAAAGAAATCCAGATATGATTCAGCTTCCCATCTTGCTCCCAAATTGGATGATACTATTATCATTTCTCTCACCTAACTGGATGGTGTTGTGTGGGATGTTAATGAGCCTTCTGGACCAGAACTGCTGTGTCTGATCCTGCTGGAATTAGAGGCTTATTTTTATGGATGTTCTATGAAGGGACATTTTATTCTCCATGTATTTAAGGTATTACTACTTTCACCCTCAGAATGGAGTTTCACCTGCAGACAGTGCTTCTCCCCATCCTGACCCCCATTCCTATTCAGTTAATATCTCATAGTCCCTCTCCGCCATATCATACATAATGGGATTTATCTCTCCTTAGGCCAAACTTATCTTTCTTACTTTGGGATTTATTACAAATAAAAATCTTCCTATGAATAGATCATACTAACCAGATATATTTTAAATCATAATGTTCTTATATTTTAAATCCTGAATATTGGTATTGCCTAATTTTTTAAGATAGGCTCAGTGATAGGGTGATAAACATGGTAATACATACTCTGCAGAGGAAAATCTACAAGTTGATGTTTGCTTTACCCCTCCTATTTCATAACTGTAACAGAGGAAAAGAGAATTAAATCTTTGGGATTTAAAATTTAACACTAACATTAACGTGAAATGAACTCAACTAGCCCCCAAAACTTCGTAAACACTAACAGGTGGTAGTTCACTGTGTTTGTTGCATTTTCTGAAACTCAGGGTCAGAGAAAATGCAGAAAGCTGATCTTGCAGAACCTTGCAAGCCATCCTGTTCCAGAGTCCTGAGGAGGAACCCATGAGAGAAACGAAAAAAAAATTGAATTGGTGCAAGAATGTCTGCCTAAATCCTTGCAAGTTGCTACTTTAGGTGTCTGTGAGCACCTCAGCATCTCTCCCACAATTTCCCCTTTAAAAGCCCTAACTGCTTGTGCTTTGGGAGACAGTGGTTCTTTAAGGCATGAGCCTGCCACTCCTTCATTTGTTGGCAAATTAATAAACGATTTCTTTCCTTTCCTCAAAACCTTGTCATTGTGTGTTGTGATTTGACTTCAGTGACAAGGACTGGTTTTTGGTAACAATCACATATACAGCCTTAACTACTATTTCTCTTAATACTCTGATTAAAACCTCAAAGCACAAGGAATAATGAATGCTTTCAAAGGGAAATGAGATTTCAAGGTATCATTTAAAAAGGAGTATTGAAGAGCTGTGCATGCACACCCCAGAAAAGAGAAATTACATGAAGGAAAAATTGAAGCAGTACTTGGTGGCAAGCACCACCCCTTAAGCTAGATGAACGGTATTGTTGATTCACCCCATGTATACTTGAGTGTCCCCTTTCTAAGCCTTTCCATCAAACCACATGTCAGCCCACTCTCCTCCACCTTCTCACTATCACAGTGGCTTTGAGACTTGCTCAGTTGGGATAGTATTTTTGCACCATGATTCTGGCAGCAAATAAATTTAAAACCCCACACAAATGAGCCCTAATCCCAGCATTAATACCTATCTATAGTCTCACTTTGTTCTGCTGCTGTAACTCATCTCCCACTATTCCTCACTTTTTCTAATTTCCAACTGAGACTATGAATATGAGATCTAGGTTTGGTTTCCTTGGAAAGCAGAGTATGAAAATGGAGAGATGTTACAAAAATTTGGGATAAACATAAATACTCATGAAATTTCTGTGGTATTTGCCTTGATGTGTTGTAAATCAATATTGGTGAGGGCAGATTCAAGCAAAACAGATCTCCAGACAGCCACCAGAAGTCGCCGGGTTGCCTGCAAACACACCATGGGGGTTTAGTCCCTTTCTCTGGCTTTCAATGGGCAGTTGATGTCCACAGAAAAATGGGTTCCTCCTGCTACAGTAGCTCCACTGAGTTACCCAGGAAGAGAAGCAGATTTCCAAAAGCAGGGGTTGCTATGGCAACAGCATCTCCACTCTGGGGTCACCTCCATTCTTCTTCTGCATCAAAATGAATCTGGTGTCCACTTCCCAGATTCTTCTAAAATGAATGGTGATGGGCAGCTAAGAGTTGTCACAGAAGCCACCTACTATTTCCTTTTCTTTCATGTAAAAGAATAAATATGTGCCTCCCTTCTTCAAGGAGTTTGGAGAGTCAACCAAATTATTCTTCAGACAAAAATATGCAGTGAAAAGAATCATGATGTTGGTGGACCCACGCAGGAATGGCTGAGGCTGGAAGATGGGTTTCCCCATCTCTTTCCCCATGAACCACTGTCTCCCCACAAAGCCTGATAAAAGCCAGGGCATAATCCAACTTTTTCCCAGATGAAAATCTGTCCTTTTAACCACTGTGCTCTGGCCTCAGTGAACATATAACAAACATAAAATTTCAGCCTTGAATTTTACCTTGAATCAGGTAGCAACACTTAAACTGAAATTTTAGAAACACTTGGGAAATGAAGACATATATATTTTTGAAAAATATTGGCAGAGAACAGCATGGACATCTGGGAGTCAATGTCACCACAGACAATGGAAAGATAAAAATAAGGGCTGCTCTCTAACTCTTGTTCTCATCAGTGACCAATTACGTGCCCCCAGGGCACCAGCTCTGACTTTCCTTTCTGCCCCTGTCTGTTCCGCATTAATGAGGTTTGGGACCCTGCACTCTCTGCTCATTGGCTGGGTGGTTTCCTCCTGCTTGGTTACCAAACACAGTCTTGTGGGAAAACTATTACAGAGGCCTCAGACTTGCACATCAGCAGCTTATCCTTGTTGTTGCCGTGGAAGAAAGAACTTCTGCACGTGGTAGGTGAGGCTCTGATGGAGGAGTGTGTTGCAGAGGAAGTATCTTGGGGCAGAAGACTCCATGACAGCAGAGAACTTCAGCAGGAAACCTGGGTCAACAGCTACCAGAGCTGGGCTCAGAAGGTGCCTGCTCTCATTGGCTGGTGTAAGAGTTCCCCAGCAATGTTGCATGTTGGGTATGATTTAACAAACTGGGGAAGGCAGAGCCAGGACTTTCATTACAACCTATGTAGTCCTGGAGTTGAACTCTAGCCCAGAACTCAGGGAGTGAAGTGTGATTGCTTGATTCTGTTGGCTCCTTTCTGGGGTTTCATTCATCAAGGCTGCCCTGTAGCCTGTTGTGGATGAAACCTTATGGGCTGTAGAGAAAGGAAACTGACAGCCAAGGACTCTGTGATCATGGGGTGCATATTCATCTCACTCTGGGACAAAAGTCTGTGACATATAAACTTCCTTTTCCTCTCCTTTTCCCTTAGCCCATAGCAAGCTCTCAACTACTTGGAATAGAATAGCTGCAAAAGGAGGAGGCCCTGCCCTGTGAGGTGACTGCATGTGCACCTGGCTTCAGGGACTGTGGTAACCGGGTGGCGTTCTTGGGTCAACTGGACCAGAAGCAGAGGCTCCTTCAGGCTGCCCTGTGGGCTGCGCCACTAAAGAATGAGCAGTTTGGCTGCATGAGCAACACTTCAGAGACTTGGCCCGTGGCAGGTTGCTGAGAGACACACCACAGATCTTCAGCTTAGTATTGAGGTGCTAGAGCCAAACAGCATTGTGAGAGAAGTGACTTATTGAGGGCAATAAAGAGAAGAACGTTCCCTGAGCTTTGATGTGGAGTGAATGTGCAGGTGCCAGGTTCCCAGAATGTCCCTAAGTGGGCTAATCCTGGAGCTACAGTCACTCCCCATCTCTCTACATGCCACCACAGAATTTCAGGAAGTTGGGGTAAATCCTGGATTTACAACCTATACCAAGTTGTTCAGTGACCTGCATGTCTCTGCTCTCTAGTTCTTTCTATAAAATGGTTGAGCTAAAGTAGATCTACTCTAGGACCTGTGTCATTCTGTAGTCTAGTAATTCATCAATGGTATTAACAGCAGGATATAAACAACTGAGATGAATAAAGCTAAATTTTCACTTACTGTTGAGAGATCATCAACAGCAGCTTGGCACCAATTTTAAGACACTTTGCCACAGCATTGGAAACACCAGAGGCTTTGGATTTCGGCAGATGTAGCTAAAGTGCCAGCCACGGGATCTAGCCACTGTGGAACTCTCTAAGCCTCCATTTCTGCTTCCACAGAAGAGGCAGAGCAACCTAAGACTCATGATTATTGTGGAGAGTAATGGAAATACTGAATTCAGTGATCAGCATAGTACCAAGCATTAGTAAGTAAAGTCCTCAGCAAGTGATGATGATAATGTTGAAGATTTGGACCATGGAACTTTTGCATGTTTAAAAGGGATATTTAAAGGGAATATTACTATATTACTGTTACATTTATTTACAAGTTGATAATAAATAGAACACTATATACTGTTTTTTAAGTATGCAAATGTAATAACCCTGTCTACTAATCACTCTATACTTAACTGTCCACTAATAATCCTACTGTTGCCATCAGACTTCAAGGAACACATAGGAAATGTTGGCATCACACACCAAGTGAATTTTAATCTTTACCTTAATTCTCAGAAAAACATGAACTGGTAGATTCCATCATCTTTTTATAGAGAGTGAAAGAGATATCACAAAGATTAGCTGTCTTTTCAAAGATGACTCATCTCTCAGGGCTTAGAACTCAGTAATGAGCTAGTATTGAACTCAAGTCCTGATTCAAGAACTGACTGACTGGACCACTTTGTTGTTGCCTAGCCACCTTCTTTGACTATTGAATAAATAACTTGATCTTATGCTCCTCTAAATCACTTGTGCCCACACTGATATCTACATTGTAGTTTAACCAGTAGAATTGCTCTGTGGAAGATATGCCCATGGAAATGAGTAATGGGACAATTGCACAAGGATTCATCTTGGAGGGGTTTCCTGCTGTCCAGCACCTGGGGAAGGTCCTCTTCCTGGTGCACCTGCTGGCATACCTGGCAGCTCTTGCAGGCAATGTTGTCATAGTGAGCATCACCTGTGCTGACTCCCGTCTCCACACACCCATGTACTTTTTCCTCAGCATTTTCTCCTTCTTGGAGTGCTCCTGTGTGACTGCTGTTATTCCTAAATTGTTGGTCATATTTCTTTTAGGCAAGCAAAAGATTTCCTTTGTTGCCTGTTTCATACAAGCTTTTGTCTTCGTATTTCTGGGAGCAGTAGCTTTCCTCCTCCTAGCAGTGATGTCTCTGGACCGGTATGTGGCCATTTGCAACCCCCTGCATTACCCGACCATCATGAACCTGAGGACTTGCTTCCTCCTGGTCACTGCCTGCTTTGCTGTGAGCTTCAGTCTCATTGCTGGTCCAGTAGTGAAGTTTTCCCAGTCATCCTTCTGTGGCCCTCATGTCATTCCTCATTTCTTCTGTGACTTTGGCCCTTTACTCCACCTTTCCTGTTCTGACACCAGGTCTTTTGAAACATTAGCCTTTGTCCTCGCTTTGTGTATCCTTTTGACATCCCTTATCGTAACCATCATTGCATACAGCAACATAGTAGTGACAATCATGCATCTTCCATCAGCCAAGGAGCGACAGAAAGCTTTTTCCACCTGCTCTTCTCACTTCATTGTTCTCTCTCTGATGTATGGCAGCTGTGTTTTTATATACATGAAACCAAAGCAAACAAACAGGCTGGTCTCCAACAAAGAGGCTGCGCTTGTAAACACAGTGGTGACCCCACTGCTGAACCCTGTTGTCTACACTCTGCGAAACAAGCAGGTCCACCAGGCCCTGAAGAAGACAATATGCAGAATGAAAATATCAAGATGAAGCAATACATGATCTTCAAATGGAAGGCTTCAGAGTATCATTTGTCTCCAATCCAGCCGTTATAGCAGTTCACACAGTTCCTATTCAAAAATCTGGGCTGACTTCACCTTTTATCTTTTGCACTACTGTAGAAAAAATAGAAGTCTGTTTTGAAGGCCTTATTCTCCTTTGGTGTTCATAACTATCACCTCTATAAACATTTCATAGATTTATATCATGTTTTTAACTGGAAAAATTTTTAATTCTTTCCTCTGACATAAACTATGTGTTTGTAATTTCCAAATTCAATAATTTATACTATTTCTCTTTAGCTTAAACCATGGCCCAGTAGAATTAACAACTATTTACCAGAGAGATTTAAATAACTGAATGGATAGAATGTTGTGTGCTACACTGTAGTTAAAAAGAAATGATCGATTATTACCAATGCTTGGGTCCACATTCTTCCATGCCTAGTTACAAAATTAATAGGTTATAGTATCATTTATCTTGGGTTATACATGGTTTGCATGAAGTGTCCTCTTACACATTGGCTTGTTCTTAGCTCTTGGCTTAGCTATACATGTATGCACCATTCTCATGCTAGAGAGAAGTAAACTCATTTCAGTCTTATACCATTCTCAAAGTATGGGGATAACCACAGCCTCACACAGCTGATTAGTGTTCCTAATTTTCTGAATTATTTGCTCTAGATTTAGCCCTGCAGATGTATAATAACACTGATGGTTGGTTTTCATTGTAACTGTTACTACAGAATGTGTGTTTATATCAGGGGCAGGGGGCACTTAATTAATATATGATTATTTCTTCCAAAGATTCAAGATGACAGAATCTGTTACTTGTTAATCTATTTCACATTACTAATGAAAATAATTTAAACAAACCAGACATGTTTTCCTGGTGGACTGGTATTGTCAAGTATAAGGTTATCTTCTGATTGATAACCTATGTTAAAACCAACATTTCTATTATTCAATCCTTAACCTTTCTGTGCTTTTAAGTCCTATATCTAGAAGAAATGTTTCTTTTTTTTTCTACAGAGGTGATATATCTAAAATACTAAAACAATTTTTTTTATTTTGTGTGTTTTTTAACCCAAACTCTGATAAATTAGATAATTACAAATACATTTCTTAAAGTATGTTCTACCCCATGATTGGATCACTCTTGATCTTGAAATACCATTACAAAATTTAGGTTTGATCTTATTGAAAATGAGGAGGTATAAAACAGGCTCTAAAAATCACATGTGTGTTATGATTAACTATGTTATAGCACATAGCTGTGGACATGGTATTAAAAGAGTTTATAAAGGTCAAGAACAGAGTAGGAAAGTGGGTGTAGAGACTGTGCAGTAATTGGGAGATAGAGCATGATGACCTGGCAATGGGAATTGAATACAAAAGGATCAGTAGTAGTATCTGAATCATTTTACATTAGACAAGCCCTGGGCTCAGCCTTGTGCTTCCTTCAACTAATGGGTCAATGTGTGTTCACCACTTAACACTTAAATCACTTTATGCAAAAGTATGAAGATTTACAGAGATAACCTCTAGGATCCACTTGAAAATGATTTGTGGGGACAACACCAAGATGTTACAGTAACGTGAATATGATGTTCCACTTCGAAAAGTATATGAAGTGTTGAGGTTCAGTACTGTAGGAATAAATCAAGGAGTCTTGGCCAAACTCTTGAAAAAAGTGTGAGCCTCCACAAGATTTTAATCAGAGTTTGAAGATATTTATTACACTCAAAATAAATTCTATTTATGTTACCTTGAGATATTTCATGATTGAAGAACGAGCCTGACAAATAGAAAAACTAAGAACAGAAATCCAAAACTGAGTCTGGGAACCCAAGCTGGTTATTTCCATCCATAAATAGTACCCAGTGAAGGAAAAACCTGATTATCAGATGAATCAGATATGGTGCTATAAAACATTTAATTGAAACAAATGCCCTGTGGATTAACAGCAGAATAGAGGTGAAAAAGAACAGATCAGGGATCAATAGATCAAAGATAGAGCAATTGAATGACCTCAGTGTGGTACAATTTGTTTACTTCTGCTTCTGTTATTTCACCAGAGGAGAGAGTGTCAGACAACCTGTGTCAGAGGCTTACTATGTTTTCTTCTAGGAGTTTTTGGTTTTATGTTTTATATTTAATCCTTTCATCCATTTTGAGTTTAATTTTGTATGTGATGAAGAAAGTGGTCCCATTTCATTTTTTGTATGTAGCAGTCCAGTTTTCTGACACCTTGTATTGAAGAGACTGTCTTTTTATCATTGTATATTCTTGCCTTATTTGTCACAGATTAATTTGTCATATAAATGTGGATATAATTCCAGGCTCTCTGTTCTGTTCCATTGATCTACCTGTCTCTTTTGTGCAGCTCCTATCATGTTGGGGTGGGGAGAGGCCAGCCCTGCCCACAGAACTCCTGCAGCAGCTGTGGCCAAGTTTCCTGCCAGCTGTGCAAGGGGCCAGCCCTTCCCACCAGTGCATCTGCAGTAACAGTGCCCCAACAGAACAGGAGGGCACATGCAGCCACATATGGACCAAGCCCCTGGAGTGCTTGGTTCTGGTTATGGGGGTACTGAGTTTTGGAGCCCTATCTGATACCTTTTATATAAGGTCACTCCTTCAAATCTGTAGTCATGCCTGATATATCTAATACATAGAAAGAAACACAGAGAATCAGGCAAAATAAGGAGTTCCAAATGAAAAAACAAGATAAAATCTCAGAAAAGAGCTGAAAAAAAGTAGATAAACAATCTACTTCATTAAGAGTTCAAAGTAATGGTCACAAGATGCTCACCAAACTCGGGAGAAGAATGTATGAACACAGTGAGAACATCAACGAGATAGAAAATATAAAACAGGACCAATCAGAGCTGAAGAATACCATATGTGAGATAAAAATGCACTAGAGGGAACAACGGTAGATAAGATGATGCAGAAGGACTGATAATGTTGTGGAAGACAGGCTAGTGGGAAATCACCCAAACTTGAAAGCAGAGATAAGAATTAATAACAAAAAAATAAGGATTAAGAGAACTCTAGTACAACATACTGTCTACAAACTCACATTAGAGGTGTCCCAGACGGAGAAGAGAGGGAGAAAGGGCAGATAATTATTTGAATGAATATGAGCTGGAAACTTCCCTAATCTGGGAAAGAAAACAGACACCCAGGCACAAGAACACAGAGAGTCCCAAACAAGATGAACCAAAGAGGTTCACACTAGAAACTTAAAAATTACAATGTTAACAAATAAAGACAAAGAGAAAATATCCAAAGCAGCAGGGGACAATAACTGGTTTCCTACAAGGAAAAATTTAGAACCAAGAATCCTCTACTTAGCAAGGTTATCATTCAGAATTGAAGATATAAAGAGTTTCCCAAGAAAGAAAAGTTAAAGGAGTTTCTTAACACTAAATTGGCCTTCCAAGAAATACTAAAGGAATTTCTTTAAGAAGAAGAGGCCATAATTAGAATTTTTTTAATTGTGAAAGAAAAATCTCACTGGTAAAAGGATTCATAGAGTAAAGGTAGTAGATCAACTATGTATCAGCTAGTATGACGTTTGAAAGCCAAAAGTAATAAAATCCACTATATGCCCACAAAATAGTAAGGAATACACAAAATAAAAAGATATAAAATATGAGTTCAAATACATAAAATGTGTGTGTGAGGGATTAAAAGTGTAAGGCTTTTAGTATGTATTTGAACTTAAGTAACCATCAGCTTAAAATAAACTGCTCTATACATTGAGTGAACCTCATGGCAACCAACTAAACCAAAAATCTGTAATAAAAACACAAAACATAAAGAGAAAGAATCAAAACATATCACTGAATAAAGTTATCAAGATACAATGAAGAATAGCCAAAGTAATCCTGAGAAGAAAGAATAAAGCAGGGGGTATTACACTCCCTGACTTCAAGCTGTACTACAAAGACACAGTAATCAAGACTATCTGATCCTGGCACAAGAACAGAACCATAGACCAATGGAACAGACTAGAGAGCCCTGATATAAACTCAACCATATGTGGTCAATTAATATATGATAAAGGAGCCATGGACATACAATGGGGAAACAACAAGCCTTTTCAACAACTGGTGTTGGCAAAACTGGACAGCTACATGCAAGAGAATGAAACTGGATTCTTGTTTAACCCCATACACCAAAGTGAATTCAAAATGGATCAAAGACCTGAATGTAAGTCATGAAACCATAAAACTCTTAAAAGACAACATAGGCAAAAATCTCTTGAATATAAACATGAACAACTTTTTCCTGAAAGCATCTCCTCAGGCAAGGGAAACAAAATAAAAAATGAACAAATGGGACTACATGATGCTAAAAGCTTCTCTACATCAAAGGACACCATCAGCAGAACAAAAAGGAATCCTACAGTATGGAAGAATATGTTTGTAAATGACATATTTGGGTTAACACCCAAAATATATAAAGAACTCAGATGCCTCAACAAACAAAACAAACAAAAATAAAATGACCCTATTAAAAAATGGGCAGAGGATATGAACAAACACTTCTCCAAAGAAGAAATTGAGATGGCCAACAGGCACATGAAAAGATGCTCCACATTGCTAATTATCAGGGAAATGCAAATTAAAACCCCAATGAGATATCCCCTCACATCAGTTAGGATGGCCAACATAGAAAAGACAGGAACAACAAATGCTGGTGAGGATGCAGAGAAAGGGGAACCCTCCTACACTGCTGGTAGGAATATAAACTAGTTCAACCATTGTGAAAAGCAATATGGAGGTTCCTCAAAAAACTAAAACTAGACATATCATTTGACCCAGAAATTCCACTCCTAGGAATTTACCCTAAGAATGCAGCAGTCCAGTTTGAAAAAGACATATGCACCCCTATGTTTATCACAGCACTATTTACAATAGCCAAGAAATGGAAACAACCTAAGTGTCCATCAGTAGATGAATGGATAAAGAAGATGTGGTAGAT